CTCGTTTGCAAAGTTCGACTGTACGAAATAGACGACGTTCGTCTATAGTGTGGCCACACATTTCTACAGTCTCGCTCACACGAGGGGCTGATAACATGTATATATTAATATATTTTTGTATATAATTTTTATTTTATTTCACGAGATTTATATTTTTATAGGTACTATTCGGTACAATTTTACTCTGATTTCGATGTTTTCATATTTTGTAGGAAAGAGCGGAAAACGAGCTTCATCGAGAAATTTTTCAGGGGAATCAGGCAACATTGGATGAACGCAAAATCAATCTGAAAAAAAATGAAAAAAGAAACAACTTTACACATAGCACTATCTCATATTATTTAATATATATATATATATATATATATATGTGGTAGTGCGTATTATATATATAAGTATATATATAACTATATATAATATATAAATATATGCACATCGCAACATGTATATTTGTGTTCACATATAGTTACATGTATATACATTATGCATGCATGTGTGTGTATATATATATTATGCATGTGTATGATAATTATATATATACATAGAGATATATATATATGAATAATATATATATATATATAAATATGTATGCTACGCGTGTGTATATATATAATATGTATATGTTTTAATATATATATATATATATATACGTGTGGATATATATGTATAATATGTGCACGTGTATATATATTATAATTATATGTATGATATGCGTTTGTATAATATGTATGAGTATAGATTATAATATGCATACGTGATGTGTGTGTATATATAATATGTGTATATACGCATATTACGCATATGTATTAATATATGTAATATATGTACACGTAAACATATATATCTACATCTAATATATAGTGTGTATATATATATATGTGTGTGTGAAAGGATGTGTGAGCAGTCACGAATTTGTTTTGTTGTGATAATATGGAAAAAGAAGAAAAACACGTTCTCTTGATTTGCGCCATTGCGAAAAGAAAGAAAAGGACATCAATCACTCTTTATCTCTTTAAAAAGAAAGGCATGCTACGAACGGAGGGAAGGGGGGAGAGCAGAGAACACGAAGAGTTCTCAGAGATATTCGACAGACAAAAAAAAAATGCAGAGTAAAAGAAGTAGAAGAAATCTTCTAGCGAGAGCACGGAGGAGCACCCCACGCTGCAAAAACTGAGTCGTTTCTTCTTCTATTTTCTGTCATGATTTTCGTTTTTGTTGTTGTACTTATTTTATCTACCATAATGTTTGAGTAATTTTATTATTGTAGGTTAAGGATTTATGGGTTATTGAGGATTATGTGTGTTTAATATTTTTCAGTATATTACGGGTTTTTGTGATTAGGTTTGAATGAGTGGATTTTAATGTTGCAAATCTTGCTGGCCACTTGAAATGTTGATTTTAGGGTTTAAATTTATGTAGAGATATAGAATTTGAATCCGGAACTCACTTATTCATCTAGGCGATTTTCGCATCGAGAGATGATTATATCACTTAGGAATTATGATAATGAGTTTAATGCTCCTATGAGTTTTACTCTATTTTGAACCGAGAGGTTGGTAGTTTAAAATTCTAGAAAGTGAGGAGAAAGATTCGAGAGAATAATCTCCTCTATAGAAAGAGTTTGAATTCCCTAAATCACAACCGTAATTGTTGAAATAAATTCATAGAAACAATCCTTGCATAACCCATAAAATCCCGACACCTACAATGTTTTAATTGAATTGTATTAAACCGTTGTTTATATTTGCTGAAATTTTTATATACGTTTAATCAACATCATCACCACCATAACTATCACCCCGACTGAGACCGAGTAGAATTCGTAATTATTATCGCTAATACTTACGCGTACTTGTGTTCGACCCTAGATAATGCGATTGATCCGTGCACTTGCGGTAGTTGAATCTAGGAAATAAAACAAGATTAGATCAACCCCCTAGATCGACATCAGGGGCCCAGCGATATCTCTCTCTTTTACGAGAGGTACAAATCTCATCTTGACTATCTACAATCCAGCACATGATTCGTGTCGTAATTGATACACGCCTTTATAGTCCTTCTTTTACGCAGGACGTTTGACGTATTCAAAGCACGCAACTCCTCATGTTGGATTCCGTAGACATCTCAGGTCATAGGATCCAATAATGGAACCGTCACATGAGATTCAAGTCATGACGCTTGTCCATGTGACAATCTCATGCGGGTCATTCCAGTATTCCGTTCTCCAACGAATACCTATGATTGTGATCGTATCCAATACTCATCATCATCTTTATGACCATCTATCACACATCATACTAGTCTTAGTACATCATTGTTCCCACAATGATATATGACTAGGGAGTTTAGTATTGTTCATAACAATACATGGATTTCATAACATAAAGTATGCACAATATGTAATGAATCAAACACTCATCCATATAACCATAGTAAGTGTCAATACATCAAATATATCTAAATAAAGCTCATATAGCAGTACATCATAGAGCACTAAACCAACAAATACAACATAATGAAATATATGATTACATATAAATTGCTATAATTAGTAACACATAAACGAGAGGTAAGACTGCAACGCAAATTGAAAACAAAAGTGGGTCGGGATTTTTATCGAAGAAAATACTAAATGTTGCTGCTAAAATTGCTAGAGCAAAGAGAATTTTGATAAAATTCATCTTCAGAGATTTCTTTTTTTGTGGGAGAAGAGAAGAGAATGAGATGATTTGGTGTGAGTTTTTGAGTGAATGGATGAGTGTATTTATAGGGTAAAATTTACTATTTCTAACTGTTGGGGATAGGAGTGTCAATTGGGTTGGGTTAAATGGTTTTTACCCAACCCAATTTAATAATATATTCAAACGGATTAACCAATTGGGTTGAATTGTTTAAATGAGTTATATGGTTTAAATCCATTTGGGTTGTATACTAGATAGGTTTACCCAAATAAAAATAAGTCCAACTAAAATTATTAAATCTAAAATTTCTTCTTCTTTTTTTCAATTCCCCCTCATGTTCCCTCACATAAACTCTAAATTGGCCTCTCTCTTAATTTCAATTTGTTCCAACAATTGTCTTCGTCGTTTCATCATTGTTCTTCGTCATCCACCTTTATTTCGATCTTTGTTGCCTCCTCTACTCGATTTGAGTATTTTTAGTATTTCATTAGTTAAAATAAGATAATACTATTTAATTGATTATATAGATATATGTGTATTATTTGTATTATATGCAATATTTGCAATCTTAAATTGTATTTTGTTATAATATTATTTGTATTATTTGTAATCTCATTTAATTGCTTTTATGTAATATTTTTTATTTGTATTATTTACCTAACGTATGTTTGAATACAGTATGTTTGTATTTTTTTTTGTATTATTGATAATAATTTTTTTTTTGTATATTTGTATTATTGATATAATTGATTCAACAGGATCTATATTAACCCAAATGGGTTAATGGGTTTGAACCAAACCATTTGGTTTTCTTTATATTAGTAATGGATTGGGTTAATCCAATCCATTAATTCATATAACCCAAATGGGTTGCATCCAAATGGGTTGGATTAACCATTTTGACAACCCTAGTTGGGGAGGAGTCAAAATTTGATTTTTTTTTTATTTTGATTTTTTTAAATGTAGTCGTTGGAGAAAAATAAATTTTAAAAAATTTATAAATGATTTTACCAATTTATATCATAAAACTATACATAAAATAATTTATTAAAAGGAATTGTTAAACTATTTTGTAAAATTAATTGATCAGGTTATGTATATAATTAACTAATTATTGAGGAAACAAATAATTTATAATTAATTTATCGATATATGAAAGAATTTATAAAACTTTATTTGTAAATTTTATTACTAGCACATTTTTTTAGATTAAGTTCAAAATTTTTTCGTATAAATGATCATCAATAAATTTATATTATATATGATAATATTTTGCATGATGAATATTTATTAATTTATATAGATTATATAATATAATTGTCTATATGTGGCGGTATTATCGTTTGCAGAAATAAAATAATTCAGGCGGCATTGCCATCCATAAAGAATAAACACAATAGTCTATTAATAAGTAAGCCGACGTAGCCGTCCAATATTAACAATTAAGACAGCATAACCGTCCAAAAACAAATAAATAATTAAAGCGGTATAGCCGTCCAAATTAATAATTAAGGCGGTACAACCGTCCAATAACGAATAAATATTTAAGACGGCATAGCCGTCCAGATTAACAATTAAGGCGGCATAGTCGTCCATGAATAATAATCGAGACGACATAGCCGTTAATAAATTAATTATAAAGAATATTGATATTCATATATAGCTTGGGGTTAATTCCACTCAAGTATCAATGAATACATGTATATATCATAAGAACGAAAATATTTGTATTAAAGATAAATTATCTTACCTTTGGTTATAGAAGAGCGTTCGTGTTGATAACGTGTTATGAAATCGGAAGAAATATCAACGACCCGGATATTAGATCGTATGTTATGAAATCGGAAGAAATATTAACGACCCGGATATTAAATCGTTAACTATAACCGAAAACTGTATTTTTGGAGAATGGAGAAGAATGTTTTTCTTATTAATCTCTCTTGAAAGTGTACAAATGAAATAATCCAAATGGTCTATTTATAGAAATTCTGAAGTTACTGTTCACGTATACGGTCGGTGTGAAGAGTAACCGTATATATAAACCGTAAGTCGACGTCAGTAAGTCGGCGTGAACAGTAACGGTGGACTCCACCATCAATATATTTTATTTATAACAATGTGACATTTTAATAAAATATCTGTATTTATATAAATTGGTTTCTAAAATATCTAAACCATGATCCGATGGACCTTTAAGTCTTTAACCAGATTTGGTTATACTTTGTATAGCATGGTACCGACATTTAAAGGATACGAAAGATATGTCGAAATAATCACGCAATCTTTTTTTTCCGGATAATTCAAAAAAAAAGAATGATGAATCATTAAATTTGAATCAACCACAACAAGAAAAAACGAATAAAACCTTACAATACGACTAGTTCTAAATAGAAAAGAAATCAAGGCATATAAATATACAAAAAAAAATGAACTATGGAATTCAATATGAGAAAGTAAGCTATGTGATTGAATCAAAGGGTTCGTAAAGAAACATTTTTTACATTTTCAGAATCGTGGAAACTAATCCTCCCTTGATGACGTCATCGTGGTCGGTCAAGAAACGCGGTTTCTTCACCGGCAAGGGACTCTCCACCTCCACTCCTCCGCCGTACTCCGGGAACGCCGGCAAGTTCAGATCGATGTACCCACGACGGCTCCGCTCCTCCGACTCCGTGCTCCCTCCGCCTCCGCTGTGGCCCCCAGGGCTTGCCCCGTCGGAAATACCTTTTGGCATATCGAGCACTCGTGGATCTTCCCGGAGACGGTCGCCGGAGTTCTTGATCCGGAGACGGAGGCATTATCGGCGGCGTTCTTGACGCGGTGGCTCGCCTTGTGACCGCCTAAAGCTTGGTAAGAAGGAAACGCCTTTTCGCACACGCCACACCTGTACGAAAGCTTCTGTTGTTGCGTTTGCGTTTGCGTTTGCGTTTGCGTTTCAGTTTGCGTTGGTGTTTGAGCGGTCGCGGTGGGTCGGCCGCGGGCGAGCATGATAAGGCAGAGAGCGAGGTACTCATCCTCGGTGGGGCCAGGCGGCGATGAGGACGGAGAAGCATCCGGTGAACGCTGGCGTTTCGAGCGTTTGCGTTTGAGCCAAGGCTCCATGAAAACGGCGTCGTTTATTACATCTTCTTCTTCTCGCCGGAACTTCTCGAGCGGCGGCGGCGGTGTCGGAAAATTCATCACTTCAAGGGCCATGTAAAAAAACCGATAAAAGATTTCGAGATTTGTTCTTCGAAGAGAGAGGAAGAATTTCGAATTCTAGAGGGAGAGACAGGGAGTGAAGAACTGTGCCTGCTCCTCGACGGTTTTGGACTCCTTTTATATGTAACCACGTGGCTCAAAAATGTTAAGTCGGTCAACTGTCTCTATATGTGTACGTATATGCCTAACGGAGAGTTTCCTTTTCTCTACATGTTTCCTTTTCTGTTTTTAATAAGCAGGAAAAAAAAGAAAGAATATTAAAATAGTACTTGCAAAAAAAAAAAAATCGCAACAATATTGGGCGGATTTGATAGTTTTGAAAATACATACTATTTAATGTAATTTTGAAAAAATATAAATAAATTTAATACTGTATAAACATTTAAGATTTTGGTCACAATAATTAACTTTATTGATAAATTAGTAGGTAAACGTGTATTTGTATTTGTATTTCTCATTAATATTTTATTAGCGTATAAATAAAAAATTTCTGAGTTTTTTTTTATTTTTTTAAATTGTCAAGAACTTTCACTTCTTCCTTTATAATAAATTTGTAGTCATGAGCAAGTGAGAGAATGATTCAAAGTCAAAAATTAAAAATCGTGGCAAACAAAAAAAATTGAGAAAATTATAATTTTCGTGGAAATTTAAATATTAGTGTAAATTAAATATAAATATTCCATTTTGTAGCGAGGGAGGGTGAAGGCTCCTTAGCCACGTGTCGTGTGGGACACGCCTTTAATCAAACGCGTGCACGGCTAATTTAGTTTTCAATTTTCATGCACTAATGTCATCAATCTTTTAATTTTAATACATTAAATTAATTTAGAAAAAACAAATTATCAATTTCTAATACGCGACTTGAAAATTAAGTCATTCTCAATCCACCGATATCTACAAATATCCGAGCAGTAAAATTTCTATGAAATATTTCACTAATCCATATTTGTTTTTTAAAAAATTATATACATCCATGCTAATATAAAATTAACTTTTAAATATGTGAGAAAATAGAAAAATATTTAAATTAAATATGGATACGAATTGATTATCCAAAAAAAAGGAAAATCTGATTATCAATTGAATGGTTATGAAATATACTAGTTAAACATGCTCTTGTTAGGCGATGAAAGAAATATTTGGTATAAATTATAATTAGTGGGAATTAAAATCTTGATGAATTTTAACAAAACAAATTTAGAATTAGTAAAATAATTATTTTTCTAGATTTATATAATTTTGATAAGGAAGTTCTACAAAAAATCGTACGCAATTTCCTAAAAAATTAATAAAATAAAAATATGATGCGAATACGTGATTTAGACTTCCTGTCCTATAAAATTATAATGAAACTTATGGATTAATTAAATTTATAATGAAATTCCATCAAATAAACAGAAAATATCAATAGATTATTGTTCTTGATAATATAATTTAGCGAAGAGATTGTGAATGGAGTGGAGACTGTGCGTGCTCGGCAGCCGCTTTGTGCACGTGTCGTTATGACACGTGGCTGGTTCTACACCACTCGTTTTTCCAGTCCTTCCGCGGCTGGTGATGATCCCCGACAAGCAAACCGGCTTGAACAAAACGTGCCCAGAAGACGACACGTGTCCTTGCAACGTGTCTGGAATTTATGCTTACAGAACATAAATGGAGAAACTAAAGTGCTTAGTGATCTGTCTATTCCTTGGTTTTTTTTTTTATTTGATGGGTATTTTTTTCACGAAATTTTACAAGATGAACGAAAAATAATGCAATAATAGTGTGACCAGAAAACATATATGAAAAAAAACAGGGTCCAATCAAGTTGGGCCTTTATAGGCCTGCTTCAATGGAGGGGTTCCGTGTTGGAGTCACAATTGATTTTTAAAATAATTTAATATTATTTTTGTCTAATGTATATATAAACAATAGATTATTAGACTGATATTTATCATTGACATACATTTATATTGAAACACGAAATATGTTACACGCTTATTTGTATAATTCCGTGTTTTAAAGGAGATATTACAAATATGCCTTTAAATGTGTACAGACACTTCAATTCATACCCTTGTAATTCTAGGGTTTTTAAAAAAATCTGAAAAACATTGAAAAGATATTGTTATCCTTAAAAAAAGAAACACTTGTCATGAAGAAAGAGGAAAAAGAAGAAAAACATTGTTATCATTAAAAAAAAAAAAGGACATATGTCAAAATCTGACATCTGAGTGGATAAAAAAAAGAAAGGAGAAATAAAACTTTTTTTTAAAACTCTCCAGCTTCTTCATTTTCTTCTGCAATTTCTTTTTCGGTAAATTTTCTTCTACAATTTCTCTCTAATGGTACGATTTTCTTCTGCAATTTCTTCTTCGATAAACACTCCAGAAAGGTGGATATTTTTTAGGTAAACAATAAAAGAAAATAAAACAAGTCAAATTGATCATATTATTCGAGTTGCATAGATAAAAAAAATTAGGATTTCAGTTAGAAAATGATAAACAATATTTTTCACAGAAGACGAGTCATATGGAAGAAGTTAAATGGTCATACTAGTCATACTAGTCGCACTTGAATGGTGTGACCAGTTTGACTAGTCTGATAAATCTGGTTAAACGGGTCACATTCGTCAAATGCTCATATCAGTGAAGTGGTCACACCCTTCAACTGGTTATTCTAGTGAAATGGGCACACAGTTAGACTAATCAAACGGGTCAAGAAGTTAAGTGGTCATACTAATAATATTGGTCGACTTGAATTGTGTGATTAGTTTGACTAATTTGATAAAAGTGGTCAAAAGGGTCATATTAGTGAAATGGTCACATGATCACATTAGTCAAACTGGTTAAAAAGTCATGTGGTCATACTAACACTAATCGCATTTGAAGGGCATAACCAGTTTGACGAGTTTGACTAGTGTGATAAAATTAGTCAAACTAGCCACACTAGTCAAACAAAACTAACAATGAGTGTTTAATTTATTTTTGTAGGTTCTATTTGTATATGATTTAAAGAACATTTATACTCTTTTTAATAAATTATACTTAATCATGTTTACTCTACGAGTATAATTTTAATCATATGTATTTAATTGGGTCAAAACTTTATACACCAAATTGAACCTTCAAAACTTAATTTAGATCAATTTTTTTTCATAAATTATCGCGCCGTCAAACTCGTCGCACCGTCAGACCCGTCAAACCGGACGTACCATATTAAATTTTGCAATCTTATCACTTTCAAACTGTAAACATATTGATAATCACCCCATATAATAAATATCTTAAGTTAAAAATAATAATATCAATCTAATTTTAACGCATTTATCTTTTTACGATGCATGTTCTCTAAAAAAACCATTTACACCATGTTTGAAAGTGACAATGCATATTTACCACATTTTATCTAAGTTACAAATAACACATTTCAAACTATAAACATTTTATCTTTTGTAATATATTGATATAGGGTAGAAGATATTTTTTCCACTTGAATTATAATTAACAAAATATAATAACTTTCATAAGTAACAAATAATCGTAGCTCTATAAATTTAACACTTTATTTTTTTTACAATGCATGTTTTTCCAAACGAAAGTCAAAGTTCTAGTACACTTTTTATAATACATTAGTTTAGGATATAATATATTATTTTCTCTCATGATTTACGAATAACAAAAACACGTTAAATACGTTATAATAGCCCCTATATACCACATTGAACCTTAGAAATTTAATTTAGAACATCATTTGACCAGTTTGACTCGTCGCACCGTCAAACTCGTCACACCGTCAAACTCGTCAAACTCGTCGCACCCTCAAGAATTTTGCAAATTTATCATTTTCACACTATGAACATGTTAATAAACACCCCGTATAACAACTTTCCTAAATAACAAATAATCGCAGCTCTCTAAATTTAGCATCTTATTTTTTTTACTATCCATGTTCTCCCAAATGAAACCCAAAGTTCTAGTACATTTTTTGTAGCACATTGGCTTGGAGTAGAATATATTATTTTCTCTCATGATTTACGAATAACAAAAACACGTTAAATACGTCATAATAACCCCTATATACCACGTTGGACCTTAGAAATTTAATTTAGAACATCATTTGACCAATTTGACTCGTCGCACCTTCAAACTCGTCAAACTCGTCGCACCCTCACGGATTTCGCAAATTTATCATTTTCACAGTATGAACATGTTAATAAATACCCCGTATAACAACTTTCATAAATAACAAATAATCGCAACTCTCTAAATTTAGCACCTTATTTTTTTCACTATCCATGTTCTCCCAAATGAAATCCCAAAGTTCTAGTATACTTTTTGTAACACATTGACTTATGGTAGAATATATTATTTTCTCTCATGATTTACGAATAACAGAAACACGTTAAATACGTCATAATAGCCCTTATATACCACGTTGAACCTTAGAAATTTAATTTAGAACATCATTTGACCAGTTTGACTCGTCGCACCGTCAAACTCGTCACACCGTCAAACTCGTCAAACTCGTCGCACCCTCACGAATTTCGAAAATTTATCATTTTCACACTATGAACATGTTAATAAATACCCCGTATAACAACTTTCATAAATAAAAAATAATTGCAACTCTCTAAATTTAGCAACTTATTTTTTTTACTATCCATGTTCTCCCAAATGAAACCCCAAAGTTCTAGTACACTTTTTGTACCACGTTGGCGTCGGGTAGAATATATTATTTTCTCTCATAATTTACGAATAACAAAAATACGGTAAATACGTCATAATAGCCTTTATATACCACGTTGAACTTTAGAAATTTAATTTAGAACATCATTTGACCAGTTTGACTCGTCACACCCAAAAGCCAAACTCCACACAAGTGTGGCTAAACCCGAAACCCCAAACGAGTGTGACTAGTTTGACGATTCTTACAAGTATGACCGTTTCGAAGGGTTTGACTAGTTTAACTGATTTGATGTGTTAGATTATTTGACCATGATTCATTCATGGAACTTTATGATCAATTTAATTGGTGTGGATCATGGTAATGTTGATTTTAACTCATTTATATCTATATAATACGACATTATATTGATATATGTTTCGTTTTTTTATTTATATCATATAAATCAAATATAAATATAAAAGTAAAATAAACCCTAAATGTCCAAATTAAAAAAAAATGAATTTTAGAATGAAAATTTATCCATTATCGAGATTATTGTTTATTAGATGAAAATTTTAGAGATTTCTTTTATTTTTTCTAATTAATTAACTAAGAAATCATGTGAAAGAATAAAAATTTGAAGAGAGAGCTTAACTGGAGAAAGAGAACGTAACAGAGGAGAGAAAAATAAAAGAATGAGAGAACTAGAGAGAGGAAAGAGAGAACGATAGAGAAGAGAGATAAATAAAAAAAATTTATTTATATAATTATATTAAATGAAAAAGTAGAGGGTATTATAAGAAATGTATATTTATAAAGGTATTTATGATAGTGTTATTTTTTTTGTTTTACGTGAAGATATAGCTTGAAGTCAAATGTATCATTTAAAAGTATTTTTGTAATCGGCCCGTTTTAAGGTGTCAGTAGACTAGGGTTTTTATTCCTTTTGGTTGTAACTAAAAAGACTAAAATGTGATTTTGAATATTCCTCTCATTTTTTTTGGTAAAGGAATATTCCTCTCATTGGCAAATAATAATAATCATTATGTAAGATCCCTATAATAATATATGCAATTTTGTTTAATCATATTATGATATATATATTAAAAATTTTTAAAACAACGATATATATTATGTGGTGATTATAACTCAGTCGATCGATAGAAATTTATCTAGACAGGATTTTGAAAGTTTTGATATAAAAAGTTTTAATATATTTGTTTATAAGAGTTTTAAAGTTTGTATTTATTTTGATTTTTTTAATAAAAATTGGATATTTTAATGAGATTTTAATATAATTAGGATACATATTTAGAATGTAAAAAATTTAAGTAATAATCGAGTTGAGTTCGTAGAAATAATATCAATTCATCATCATCATCATCATCATCATCATCATCATCATCATCATCATCATCATCATCATCATCATCATCATCATCATCATCATCATCATCATCATCATCATCATCATCATCATCATCATCATCATCATCATCATCATCATCATCATCATCATCATCATCATCATCTCTTATTGAAACTAAAAAAAAGAAATTCTCATGTACTAAATAATTTTAAAAGAGTACAATTAAAAAAAATACCAATTTGTGGGATAAAAAAAATACCAATTTGAATTCAAATCTCTTTTTATTTTTGGCAGCGCTCATTTTTCGAATCTTCTCCATTCTCTCTCTCTTTCTCTCTCCAAAAGCCCTAGAGTTCGTCTTCAACCACACCACACCGCCGATGACGACGGTTCCGGCAGCCGGTCGTGAACTCTCAAATCCGCCAGCAGACGGCATCTCCAATCTCCGTTTCTCAAATCACAGCGATCACCTTCTCGTTTCTTCATGGGACAAGGTCTGAAAACCCTCCTCCCTCTCCATTCTCTTACACTTGAGTTCACTGTGTTTGGGTCTGGGCATTTGTCTGATCCGATGATCTTCTGTATCTGAATCTAAGAGCGTGAGGTTGTATGACGCGAGCGCCGATTCTTTGAGGGGGGAGTTCATGCACGGCGGTCCCGTGCTCGATTGCTGCTTCCATGACGATTCCTCTGGGTTCAGCGCTTGCGCCGACAACAAAGTCCGACGGTCTGTCCTTTTTTACCCATTTCGCAAAGAGCTATGTTATTACAACAACAACAACAACAACAACATGACCTTATCCAGGAATCCTATGTTTTCTCTTTCAATTTTGTGTTGATTTTATGGCCACATTTTTTGCTTAGAAATCGTGGACTTTTTCCAAGCTTTTTGTTAAAGTATCCGGTCTGGACTCTAGAGAGAAAAGTCATAGAGATAAGTTATATATCCACACAAAAAAATTCCTCAGAAACTCATTAACAGTAGGATGGATATCTGGTTTCAGGTGTTTTGCAGAGGTTATTGTAGGATTTTCATTTGTGGGTTTTTCTTTTGATTTAAGTCGCTATCCTATTTCAGGCTTGTTTTCAACGCCGGAAAAGAAGATATTTTGGGAAAGCATGATGCACCGGTGCGATGTGTTGAGTATTCTTATGCTGCAGGTTGGTAGAAAGGCAAATTGTTCTTATGATGTTTAGTCGAATAACTTCCTTATTTACCATGCATTAATCTGGTGTATTTGACATCTAGGAAAAGCTGTAGTTTAGGGTCAGAAGTTAAAATTACAAGTTATGTATGATTCTCAAAATGGCTTATCTTAATGGGATGGATAATGAATTAAGTTTGCTAAACCAGCAATTTTTTTTTGGTGTGTGTTTTTCTCTGTACCCTAAATTCGATGGCGACACATTTTGTTTCATGCGGTGCCACAGGACAAGTTATCACTGGAAGTTGGGATAAAACACTCAAATGTTGGGATCCAAGAGGTGCAAGTGGGCCAGAACGCACACTGGTTGGAACATATCAGCAACCAGAGCGTGTTTACTCTTTATCTCTTGTTGGAAACCGGGTAGTAGTGGCAACAGCAGGAAGGCATGTAAACATCTATGATCTTAGGAATATGTCTCAGCCTGAGCAAAGAAGGGAGTCTTCGCTGAAATATCAGACCAGATGTGTACGCTGTTATCCCAATGGAACCGGTAGATATTTCACTTTTTGTGAATGTTAGCCAACTGATATTCTACATTTTTCTCATGTGTAATAATGCTTTGCAGGATATGCACTCAGCTCTGTTGAAGGAAGGGTTGCTATGGAGTTCTTTGATCTATCAGAGGCTACTCAAGCTAAAAAGTATTTGCCCGATAATTTTCCTGTGTTTTCTTACGCATATCTTTTGGGGAACTTTAGCACCTCATTTTTTTCGTCCTCAATTAAATCGTTCAAGTTTTTTAACTGCAGTTCCATTTATCTACTTTTTAGCGCTTATTTATTTTAATTTTTTTGATCCCCCAGATATGCTTTCAAATGTCACCGGAAATCAGAGGCTGGAAGGGACATTGTCTACCCTGTAAATGCCATTGCCTTCCATCCAATGTGAGTCTTGTCTGAAGAAGGACGAGAGTTATTTCCTTCCAGAAATTCTGTTTCCCCTATTCCTGCGTTCTAGACTTGCCCGTTGACAATAAATGGACTTCGAAGGAAATCACCAAATTACCTTGGATGCCATTTAGTCCTTGGAAATCAGGAAATGGTTACATTCTCTCGGTTATATTTTTATAATCACAAAACTATTATTTGGTTTTGGTTGCTTTCAGAAACTTTTGCTAAGAATCTGTTTTGGTACCAATTTTATTACTTATAGTAACATGAGGTTTTGGAATTATAGTTATGGAACTTTTGCAACTGGAGGCTGTGATGGTTTTGTTAACATCTGGGATGGGAACAATAAGAAGCGGCTGTATCAGGTTAGGTGTTTGCAATAAATGTTGCTGATTTCCTTCAAGTATTCCTTTTTGGTTGTTTAATTCGACACGGAATTTACCAATTTGCATCTTTCTTCCTTTTTTCAGTATTCAAAGTATCCATCAAGTGTGGCTGCACTCTCGTTCAGCCGAGATGGTCGGTTACTGGCTGTTGCTTCAAGCTACACCTTTGAAGAGGGAGATAAAAAGTATGTCTCTTTTCTTTACCTATTCTTATTGAACGAAATTCTGCATCTGGATACATAGTTTTAACGTATCAAAGGCAATCCTGTTAGTCGCCAGTCTAGTTGGGGGCATCTTATCTTACCTTTATGTTGACCGACAAATTTTCCGTTTCAAGGATTATCATGTATTAGGGTTGGACACGGGTTGCGTACCCGATGTCGAACCCATGGCTCTCGGGTTCCGGGGTTCGGAATTCGTTGCTGTACTCGTGCTGGCTGGGTACTTGGACTTGGATACCCGTTAGATGCCCCAAATGCTTGGGTACCATTCGGTTACTCGGATGGCGAGGGGAGAAACATGAGGCATGGTCCAACAAGGTGAAGGGGCCGAGGAAAGAGGCAAGGGGTGAGGAAAGAGAGACTCAGAGAAGAAAGGCCCTTTGTTTTATTTTTAATAAAGATGAAATGCGAAAAAGATGAAGAAATCATGAAAACAAAATGTTTAAACCTAGGTGTAGTAGTCTCTGAACCTCATTGCCTCGCCCCCTCATCCTCTCATGGCATCCCCTTGTGCCCTCATCCCCTCGGTTCGGGTTATCTGTGGGTACAAGTAAACATTGGCTGGAAACCAAAACCTGAAGGTCGGGTTTTCTTTGTTGGACCCGTGTTTGTCCCTCCGGTGGATCATGACGCTGGTAGGGTCTGGTACATTATTCAGTTTTGGCACGGTGGCACCTTTACACACACTGGGAAATTTTGAATCAGTTCAAAGACGCAACAATCTCTCGTTTCTTCTTGTTTGTGGCGTTTTCTCTTGAACTATATTATTAGATGTTTCACTAACCAACTGTGTACTTGTGGGTTATGTTCTTGAACAGGCATGAGCCAGATGCCATCTTCGTACGAAGCGTAAACGAAATCGAAGTGAAACCCAAACCCAAAGCATACCCAAATCCTCCGGCATAGTTTTGAGTACGAGACAAAAAAAAAAAACACCCATCTTGTTATGATTGGTCGTGTAGTAATAACAGCCATAACTTCTTTTACGGTTTTTTTTTTTTAATCTGCTCGTGAAGTCGGATCATAATATTATGTCCCAAGGTTTGTTCATTTACAAAGTATGGCTTTAAGTGTATTTGCCATTTCTGGTTTTTGATTGGTTTCGGTTCTATGCAACACCATTTCTTTTTTTCAAAATATCAAGATGTCGTATCAAATTAAAACCATAACCTTTTTCCACGTCAATGAGATCATATAAAAATCAATTGAGGTGAATAGTATTAACAAACCTGAAAAACGAAAATAAATAAAAACTCAAAAGAATGCGAAATTAACTTTTAGATGAAACCAAAAAAATACCCCATTGCTGGAAACATTTAATTGGAGAGAAAATTAACAAGGCAATGGATTACGTCTTAGGAAGAATATAGTTCAACTTCAAGGTGTAGAAATATAAAGAATCATCACTAAAGGTTTCCCAAAAAAAAAAAAGAACACAAAGCCATATATATATATACCTCCATACATCAGCTACGTTACCTACATGTTCTCGTCGTGTTCACGAATATCTCCATCACCGTCTTCTCCGGCCGGCCGATGTCATGCCTGCATCAACTGCAAAAAAACCGCTTTCGTTTCCTCAAAAGATTTCCCTTTTTGGTATGTTGCGTGAAAAGAAACCCGAATTTTGGATACCGACCCGTTGACCGGGTTCGGGATTTGGGTTATAACGAGAGGAAAACACGCAAATCAGATTCAAATTCACGTAATTAGATTTGAGATCGGATAATACCTAGTACCAGATAAACAGAAAATATACATTTTTCCCTAGGGTTTAGAGATATTGCAAGCATATTGAAATTTTGGATTTGGGTTCAGATAACCCGAAAACAGATCCAATCCGAGATCGAGTAATAACTCATGAGATCAAAAACGTTCGTGGTTTAAATAATCCGAAAAAAATATCAGATATCCAACCCGTGCCCACCTCTAATTTATGGCATTCGAGTGTTGTTGCAAAACCTAGTAACTTGGAGCTTTGAGGACTATACATATATAGTAAGGTAGTCAGAATGTGTACATACCAGTTTGGAGGAGTTTCTTCCTTTCAAAGTCTTCAAAGCGGCTTCAGCGAAAGCCTGAGCTGCCTCGGCATCAGCTTCCGCTGCCTCGGCTCGTTTTAAAAGACCCTAACTGAAATAACAGATTTTTCCAGAACTTTTAATTTTTATCACCAAACCCCAATTCATTTTTTTTTATAAAAATTTCGTTCGTTATACTCCGCGTCTACCACTGAGGAGATCGAGTGTTGCACCGAGAGTTTACACTCTCACGGTCAAGGAAGATGTCTTGGAGGAGCATACATCAAGGAAGAGTTGTATGCAGCACAGTCGATGGCCACATATAAGGCCACTGATGAGGAGTATCTTGAGAAGACGAACACTGCCACCATCATATGTACAATTTGCATACATGATGTTGCATATACCATTTTTTTAATACAAGAGCTACACACAAATTCCTAAGTGTGAAGAAGGTGGGAGAGTTTTCGATCATGGAGATCGACACGACTACCCATTTCATGGTATGTACACCAGCGGGACAGACTCTCTCGACACAAGGTATTTTGCATTGCATGCCATTGGCTATCTACGAAAGGATGCTAACTGTAGATTTTATTGTTGTACCTATACGTGGTTACGACCTGATAGTGGGAATGGATTGGTTATCCAAGCATCGAGCACAGATTGATTGTCACCAGCGGACTATTTGGTTCACAGAGGAATGTTGGTTTTAATGTTCTACGATGATCTGTGATATGGCATTTGACTTTGTATTGGTTCATTTGGTTTATGAATGCATTACTTTTCTTTTCTATAATTCGCATGATCGTTACATATTGGTATCCTTGAATCATTATAGAATGATTCTAAACTCCCTGATCAGTTATATCATCATGGGAGCGATGATGAACTAAGACCAGAATGAGGGGTGATTGATGATCATGATAATGATCATGTGAATTGGATGTGAATCACAGTTATGGGTACTCATTGAGAACGAGTGACTAGATGAACCACATGAAATTGTCATATAGATATGCCCCAATTATTCACATAAGTCAAAAGGGAGAATGTTAGAAAATAAGATGTTGGATAACCCATAATTTGAACTTTCAAGTCTTAATATTAATTTTAATTCTTTGATACATAAGAACCAATCAAAGGGTATTTTAAAAAAAATATATCTATTTATTTTAATAGAATTAGGGTTTTACACCTTGTAAAAGAAATTTTAAAATTTATTATTTTTTATCTATCAAGAAAAAATATAAAACGCAAAAAACGAGAGAACCTCTTAACAGCCGTAGTCCCTAAAATTATTCCATGTTTTTCTAATCTATATTTTATTGATAGTTTTTATAAATTATATAAAGTCAAATCGTGTTTATTGTTTGAGTTTTTATAAAATCAAATCCATGAAAATATGAAAGTATTTTGCATTTGACACTTTGGCACGAATGCATAAATTAGTTTTTTTACACCACAAGTTGATTGGAATTTGTAAAAAGATGAATCGAAGTGTAATTAAAACCTCATTGAGTTTGTCTTATATTTGTTTCGGTTCGATTATAGTAACTCATTTTATTTCGAATTATCATGGATTTCATTTGATTCGGGTTTTGGTTAGTTTGGACTGCAATTCAAGTACATTGTGCTTACACGAAGAAATGAACCATAGTAATCGACGTAAAAGGATATAGCTAGGGATCAACTATCCATGCATGGTTACACAAGGTCGGATATATTCGATCGAGATATACCAATTTTGGATTTGATTTCGAGCATCGCATCGTCTGTGTTGTGTATGCCCGTGCGTAATCGAGATGTATAACATTAATACCACCGAACGGTCGAATAGGACGATGTATATCATCAATATTTGATAGCATTACCCTTAAGGTGAATTCAGGCTGATTTATATAAATCAATTAGTGTTTCTTGTAACCTTAAAAGAAAACGATAGGTTTAATAATTTGGTCCATTGAAGATCCAAAACATTGAATTCTAAACTCAATTGGATGTCTCCCGTAGTTTTGGTTTAGCTATTTTGAAACATGTTTACTGTAGGGAAGCGAATTCGATTTATGTAAAAACTTTTGTATGATAGGAAAGGCTTATTGAAAAATGTGAAAGTTATATGAAAACTTTCGTATTTAATTTTAATTTATACAACAGCATTGAAATTCAAACGTATTTGAAGCGACTTTTATCATGTATTAATTTTAGTTTTAAGATAATATTAATCTTTACTAACTTTAAAAATATTAATTTATAATTTTTCTGAAGGGTATTTGACAATTTTAATTTTCAGATTATTTAACTAATTAACATTTACAATATTATAGTATTTTTGGGAAATTTCTATAAACATACCAAAATTTGTCTAAATATTCCACATAAATATCTCAAATTCCTAATTGTTAAATAAATAACTTAATTTGATCAATTTATATCAAATAGATACCAAATCTATGATGGTGCTAATGGATGACGACGTCAATAGATATCAGATTATTGTATTTATTTCTGAATTTGAAATTTGGGATCCTTATAAGACACATTAAAACAAATTTTGCTATTTTTTATAGATTTTTTCAAATTTTTATATTCACGGGCTTGATAGAAATTTAGATTTGTCTTGGTAACTGATGGTAGTTCCCTCATTTTCTTTTTTTCCACTATTTGATAGAAATTTAGATTTGTTCAACTCTTTATAACTTTGTTTTCTTCTTTTGACATTTAGATTAATATATTTTCCTTTTAAACGGCGATTCATATCCAATCTTTTAATATCTTTCAGATTATTTTCTCTTTTTATTTTTTCTTATTTCATGTTTTGGTTCATTTTTTCTACAGTCACAGATATATATATATATATAGGTAGACAACTAAACAAAGAAGACAAATAGAAAAGATGAGCAAGTTTGTGGCGACTCTATTGGTTGTACTGGTGTCGCTTGATGCCGCCACTGTATTTGCTTATCCACCTCTCTTTAGAAGATTTAATATCGAACTTAAAAATGGCCTCCAATCTAACAAAGCCATGAAGGTACACTGCCGAGCAAAAGGCGAGGATTTCCCATATCATATTATAGACATTGGCGGCATATATCAACTCAAGTTCACAGTCTATGTAAATACTTTGTACTGGTGCAACATCTGGCAGGTGAGTATACCAATTATCTCTCTTTTGTTTCTTTTCGGTTCGGTCTCGGTTATTTTGGTTCGGTTTTTATTATGGGATTTCAGTTCGGCTATATCGGATCCCGATTCGATTTCGGTTTGATTTTTTCTGGAATCCTTAGTTTTCCGGTGTCAGTAAAACTATGAACGCGTTTTATTGTTATATTTGGGTTTCAATTTGAATTTAGTTTATAAAATATTCATACTAGACTGCATCACATTTTGCTAATTTCTCATATTATTTTTTTATTGGGTTTGAATTATATATTTGAGAAAAACTATATAACTTTTAGGGTATATGTCATGAATAAAAATTCTTTTTTTTTTCCCAAAATTTTTTCGTTTTGATCAAAAGTCATACCAATTAGATGTTCAGATTAGATTGGATTTTATATTATTCGGTTCAGCTCTATACATTCAAAATAAAACTTGGTGGTTTCGAGTAATTTTTTAATGTTAGGATGATATCTTTTTTTTTTTTTCAGGGACCTAATTACCAACACCATGCGAAATTTAATGCGTTCATTGCGGTCGATGAGTTCATAAATGATACATGCGGAGGTCGAAAGCCTAATGTATGCAGGTTTGAAGCGAGAGAGGATGGAGTCTATGCTCGTAACAACGCAAAGGGAGAATCAGAGTATAAGTTCCTTTACAAATGGGACTCTTAGTTCTCGTTCATGTGTATCCCTTAGTAAAGAACTGAATAAATTTAGCAGAAATTAAACCCCATATCATAAAATGCGTTCTAAAAACTATTCTGTGGTTTGATAAATAAAGATATCGTTTTTTTTATAACCGAATATCTTATACCAAGATCCAAAATAATTTCGAGATCGCAGGTCAGCCATATGATTTACAATATATATTCCCCTAAATTTAAGATTCGAACTCGAAAAGGAACAAACGTTTTGCGCCTCCATTTCACTCGTTGAATTAACTAAGTTTGGGTTAATTAACATGCTTAACTTTTAGTCCAAACCTAAAAAATAACTTCAATTATTTTATTTACTCAAAAACAACTTTCTACTTGTTATAAAAAAAAGTACCAAATATTAATTTTGAGTAAAAAATACCATACATTTTATATTATTTTAAAAGAGTGTAAATTATTTCTTATTTAATTGATTGGTATGAAAATGATACATTTTATCATATTTTACTAACTAAAATTGTTTTTATAAAATATATCATGCATTGCGGAGAATGTCAACATAGCTCACTCCGGATGAAATCAAGGCAACAATATTTTCCATGCCAAGGAACAGAACTCCGGGTCCGGATGAGTTCACAGCTGAATTTTACCAAATCAGCTGGGAAGTAATAGGTGAAGAGTTTATAGCAGGCATCTCCCATTTCTTTGATACTAGAAGTTTGCCAAAATCTGTCGATGCAACCACTCTAGTACTGATCCCCAAATTCCAGGGAGGAGAAAAGTTCTCCGACTCCACGCTGATATCTTGTTGTCATCTAAGCTACAAGGTCACTGACTTCATAGAATCAAGTCAATCTGCTTTTATCAAAGACCGTTTAATGTCTGAAAATTGTTTGCTAGCAAACGAACCTCTCAAGGAGTATCACAGGAGGAAAATCTCGAAAAGGGTAGCTGTGACACCCGCATCCCGCTTACGCTTGTGCCACGTGGATAAATAAAATCACGATTGAAAAATTTCGAAATGTAAAATCGCGGGAAGATTAAAACATTCATTTTAATTATAATACAGCGGAAGACATTATAAAATACAGAAATACATTTGTACACGTACTTGAAGATATCAGTATATAGTACGAATGGTGAATTGTATAATACAAGAGTCTAAAGATCACCACTCTTTATTTTAAAAAAATAAAGTATGACAAAATAATTATACATGATCTGGATAGTCCAATTGTCACCGGAACCCACGTCTGCCTCAGTCACTACTGTTGCTCACGACCTGAAACGTTGCGTAACAACGTCCTAAGCTATGTGCTTAGGGAGGAATTCGGGTGTAACCCGAGATTTCTATTTTTATTGAAAACGGCCAAGTTACAGTATAACGATATATGAGTGTGTGTGGTTGGGGGATCAGTTAGTTGGCATGGCATGAGACTTTATTCCGGAGGGTCGGGATAAGGTTGAGCGTGTGAATGTAGCGGGTTTGAGGAGGCATGATTGTGATTGGTTGCCTATGGGTAGAGCTTGGAGCCGATGATACGCGTGATAGTCTTGAGTGATTCGGCTATCACGGGGTTGAGGAAATCCTACGGTTACTCTATAACCGCGCCAACGTTCTACTAGCTATGGAACGGGTTCGGGATTGAGTGATTCTCCCGGCAGAGACTGGCAACACATTTACCCGTGACTCGGGATTGAGCGATTCTCCCGACGAGGTTGTGCAGAAAGACTCTGAAAGACCTGAGCTCGGGTCTGATGAGCTTTTCCGTGGCGGACGGCCGGCGAGAGGTTGTCAGTTGTGTACTGACTTCACTCGACATAGTCGGTGGTGACCTGTAGGAGGCACCTGGCGCTCTGGTATCGAGAGGTGACATCGATATCAGAGGGGGTGGTTGATGTATTATGTTTTATGGAGTAGGGAACTGGATGACGTGTTTTATTGTTTCGGCGGTTGCCGAGGAGAGCGGGGGATGTGCGTTGCACATGGAGAGTCCTTACCCACGGGTGTGATACACACGTGGAGATGATTTGACGATACTGATGTTACTGATAGACCCGATGGGTCGAGCTATGACTGGTATAAGTGTCCTGGACTGGTGCTACCAGATCCGTGCGGTGTCCTATGTGTGCGACGCACATAGAGAGGATTTGACGGTTATATCCGATGACTTGTCATTCGGATTGTGTGTGATTGATAAGGGTGTACTTGCGTGATTGAGTGAACTTTGTTTGATGGCATGCGGTGTGTATATATGTCATACACTTATATTACTTTACTTTTTCTCAGTCTTGTGATGTTTTGTTGTTGACGGTGACTGGATTTTGTATTATATCGGATTCACCGTCTTATGTTGGTGTGTATACTGTACGTGGGTTTGTTAAACATATACTTGTTTTTCCGCTGGGGGGGTAATCAAGTAAAATGTTTTTAAATTCCCTCTATTTTATTATATGGTTGAGCGTCCATGTGGCACAACTCGTGAGCGGGAGGCGGGTTACGGGTGTCACAGCTTGTGGTATCAGAGCAGTTCTTTCCACGGGAAGGAATTGCTTGAAACCCACGGAAACATCGTTTATGATTTCAAACGATTTTTGAAAGGAAATGTTTTAAATGCGTCTATACATGATCCTGAAGTCACCAGAACTGACACTTTCTCTCCCTTGTCTGGAGTATACCGATGCCTTATATAGAGAAATATAGGCTTTGAAGAGTCATTATAATCTAAGTACATAAACTGAGCAATGATCAACTCGGTAACTGCTGGGACAATCTGCAAGTAAAATGCAAGATTAGGATGAAACACTGGGGCTATGAGGAAATAGAATAAAGGCAAAACGAGTATGAAATTTCCATACCGGCATTCCCAGATAAACTATGCTCACGGACTGAGCAAATACTCGACATTGTGGGTGCTCATGCCCACCCCTAATTTATTCGACTTCGGTCTAAGATCACACACCCGAACACATCAAATCATAGTCGAACTAAGAAAAAAAGTATATATATGTGTTTTCCCTATCTTAATCTTACGATCTACCCTGAACTGATTCGCCTTTTTTTTTTTTTTTTTATGTTTTGATCAATGAAGTTCAACGTGATAATGCAAGTGATCTTCTCGTCGGCTGCAACAGTGGGGATAATAGCGGCATTCTTGTTGGACTGTACTCACAGCTACGGACATGCTTCAGTTAGGAGAGACAGTGGAAGACATTGGTGGGCGAAGTTCAGAGGTTTCCACACCGATTCTCGAACCGAAGAGTTCTACGCTTTACCCTTCCGTCTCAACAGATTCTTCCCTTCTTTCTAAAACCCCAAACCCTAATCCATTCCGAAACCCTAAACACGTCAACCTGCATGGTAATAACCCTATACCCTAAACTCTAAACCATTCCGAGTCCCTAAAATCGTTTACCTGCATGGTAACTTTGTACCCTAAACTCTAGACCGTTCTGAAACCTGAACTCGTTTTTCCGCGTAGTAAACAGACTGTCACATCAGATTCTTGATGTTATTACATGTTTATCTGCAGAAGAGATTGGTTCAGCCTGTATGTATCATCAGCTTTCACGCTTCGGGTTTTGGTTTCTTATCTGTTGTGTTTGCCCTGCTTATCAGAATCTGTAATAATCGGTGAGGATTCGGGTTTGTAGTGTCGGAAAATGCAAACCATTTCACATTTTAAGTGAAGTTGATGGCATAAAATAGGTTACATGCATGTATACACCCACATTTGTAAGTATCTTTTCATTCAAATTGCCACATGAGTAGCCCTATGTCTTTGAAAATATAGGCCTAAGACTGTAAGTCTGTAACCACAAAGTGTTCCAGAGAGACTAGGCAAGCAGATATCTTACCTCGTCGGGTGATCCTGCGGAAACAGTGCTTGCCATTTCCATCACCTAAACCCGGATGGAGCTGGCGAAGTGCCTCCTTCAGGTAACCCCATGGCTCTAAGTCGAGCACTCATATCCTTGTCCTAAATCAGCACATGTCCCATTACTACAAAACAAGGCAATACCAACAAAAAAAAGGGTACTTGTTCGGGGAATGATGTCGAAGGTTTACCTTTTTGTGATACCGTTTCTCTGTTTTGTCAGCTATCTTGTCTGCAATGCCATAGTCGATAGCATCTTGTGCTTGGAGATACTTAGGTCGCTTGATGTCCTCGTAGATCTCCTCCTTGGATTTCCCGGTTCCCTGTGCTAATAGATCCACGTAGTAATCCGTATTTGAATCAAGTTCCTTAGCCTGAGACAAGATTCTCATCGTTTCAAGATACAATAAAGAAAAATAAAACAAGGGCGATGGATAAAATGGTAACAGAATGTGGATATAAACCTTTATCCACATGTCTATGGCAGCTCCTGCTGATCTGTTCACTTTAGGCAGATATAATTTCGCTGCACCACAAAAAATCATTGAAATTTGGAAACATCACATATGGTGTTAATGGGAATAAGAACGAGAACCAGATGAAGAATCAAATAACTTTCTTTTTTATACGTAGATGAAGATGGTGACAAAAAGATCTGACAGAACTGTTCCACCATCGTTGAAGCTAAATAGAAGTTATCAAGAGACGAGTTTTGCAGAAGTTAAGGCCAGATTGATGAAACCAAAGTGAAGCATAAGATAACAAATATTAGAACCAAATGAACGAGCTTAGATAGCTTCTTAGCAACGGGAATCTGTAACTAATGACGGGTGAGTTTCAAAAGAAGACCAGTACAGTTTGTAAGCTCGAATCATGAAAGAAGAGAACCATACTCGATGAATGTGGTAGTACTGAACGCTTCCCTTTGTTCCCAAGAGACAGAAGCATTGCCGCTTGACCATAAGCCATGCCACAATTGATGGTATAAACATCTGGTTTGACGTACTTTTAGACAAAAAAAAGCAAACAATGAAGAGATCAGGACAGAGGCAGGTTGAAGGGAAATTCGTTTACATATGGTATACCAAAACATAATCAAGTGAGATAATTAGCAAAAAGAATGTTTCGGCCCGACACGAGAACCATATGATATTATCCCAAAAGGTAAGCAAATATACTATACAAGTTAGTGATGTCACTTACACACATAGCGTCAGCTATGGCAAAAGCCTCAGTCTCTGATCCAACAGTCTCCATCTTCTCATTCTACAAGGCATTTGCAAAGGCCAAAACTTTAGACACATTGTTTAGAGTAAAAGAGCAGGAAGGAAGAATCATACCAGAAAACTACAACAGAAGTCATGTTACTGACCTGTGTCCCCGATGAGTTTATATAGAGAAATATAGGCTTTGAAGAGTCATTATAATCTAAGTACATAAACTGAGCAATGATCAACTCGGTAACTGCTGGGACAATCTGCAAGTAAAATGCAAGATTAGGATGAAACACTGGGGCTATGAGGAAATAGAATAAAGGCAAAACGAGTATGAAATTTCCATACCGGCATTCCCAGATAAACTATGCTCACGGACTGAGCAAATACTCGACATTGTGGGTGCTCATGCCCACCCCTAATTTATTCGACTTCGGTCTAAGATCACACACCCGAACACATCAAATCATAGTCGAACTAAGAAAAAAAGTATATATATGTGTTTTCCCTATCTTAATCTTACGATCTACCCTGAACTGATTCGCCTTTTTTTTTTTTTTTTTATGTTTTGATCAATGAAGTTCAACGTGATAATGCAAGTGATCTTCTCGTCGGCTGCAACAGTGGGGATAATAGCGGCATTCTTGTTGGACTGTACTCACAGCTACGGACATGCTTCAGTTAGGAGAGACAGTGGAAGACATTGGTGGGCGAAGTTCAGAGGTTTCCACACCGATTCTCGAACCGAAGAGTTCTACGCTTTACCCTTCCGTCTCAACAGATTCTTCCCTTCTTTCTAAAACCCCAAACCCTAATCCATTCCGAAACCCTAAACACGTCAACCTGCATGGTAATAACCCTATACCCTAAACTCTAAACCATTCCGAGTCCCTAAAATCGTTTACCTGCATGGTAACTTTGTACCCTAAACTCTAGACCGTTCTGAAACCTGAACTCGTTTTTCCGCGTAGTAAACAGACTGTCACATCAGATTCTTGATGTTATTACATGTTTATCTGCAGAAGAGATTGGTTCAGCCTGTATGTATCATCAGCTTTCACGCTTCGGGTTTTGGTTTCTTATCTGTTGTGTTTGCCCTGCTTATCAGAATCTGTAATAATCGGTGAGGATTCGGGTTTGTAGTGTCGGAAAATGCAAACCATTTCACATTTTAAGTGAAGTTGATGGCATAAAATAGGTTACATGCATGTATACACCCACATTTGTAAGTATCTTTTCATTCAAATTGCCACATGAGTAGCCCTATGTCTTTGAAAATATAGGCCTAAGACTGTAAGTCTGTAACCACAAAGTGTTCCAGAGAGACTAGGCAAGCAGATATCTTACCTCGTCGGGTGATCCTGCGGAAACAGTGCTTGCCATTTCCATCACCTAAACCCGGATGGAGCTGGCGAAGTGCCTCCTTCAGGTAACCCCATGGCTCTAAGTCGAGCACTCATATCCTTGTCCTAAATCAGCACATGTCCCATTACTACAAAACAAGGCAATACCAACAAAAAAAAGGGTACTTGTTCGGGGAATGATGTCGAAGGTTTACCTTTTTGTGATACCGTTTCTCTGTTTTGTCAGCTATCTTGTCTGCAATGCCATAGTCGATAGCATCTTGTGCTTGGAGATACTTAGGTCGCTTGATGTCCTCGTAGATCTCCTCCTTGGATTTCCCGGTTCCCTGTGCTAATAGATCCACGTAGTAATCCGTATTTGAATCAAGTTCCTTAGCCTGAGACAAGATTCTCATCGTTTCAAGATACAATAAAGAAAAATAAAACAAGGGCGATGGATAAAATGGTAACAGAATGTGGATATAAACCTTTATCCACATGTCTATGGCAGCTCCTGCTGATCTGTTCACTTTAGGCAGATATAATTTCGCTGCACCACAAAAAATCATTGAAATTTGGAAACATCACATATGGTGTTAATGGGAATAAGAACGAGAACCAGATGAAGAATCAAATAACTTTCTTTTTTATACGTAGATGAAGATGGTGACAAAAAGATCTGACAGAACTGTTCCACCATCGTTGAAGCTAAATAGAAGTTATCAAGAGACGAGTTTTGCAGAAGTTAAGGCCAGATTGATGAAACCAAAGTGAAGCATAAGATAACAAATATTAGAACCAAATGAACGAGCTTAGATAGCTTCTTAGCAACGGGAATCTGTAACTAATGACGGGTGAGTTTCAAAAGAAGACCAGTACAGTTTGTAAGCTCGAATCATGAAAGAAGAGAACCATACTCGATGAATGTGGTAGTACTGAACGCTTCCCTTTGTTCCCAAGAGACAGAAGCATTGCCGCTTGACCATAAGCCATGCCACAATTGATGGTATAAACATCTGGTTTGACGTACTTTTAGACAAAAAAAAGCAAACAATGAAGAGATCAGGACAGAGGCAGGTTGAAGGGAAATTCGTTTACATATGGTATACCAAAACATAATCAAGTGAGATAATTAGCAAAAAGAATGTTTCGGCCCGACACGAGAACCATATGATATTATCCCAAAAGGTAAGCAAATATACTATACAAGTTAGTGATGTCACTTACACACATAGCGTCAGCTATGGCAAAAGCCTCAGTCTCTGATCCAACAGTCTCCATCTTCTCATTCTACAAGGCATTTGCAAAGGCCAAAACTTTAGACACATTGTTTAGAGTAAAAGAGCAGGAAGGAAGAATCATACCAGAAAACTACAACAGAAGTCATGTTACTGACCTGTGTCCCCGATGAGTTTATATAGAGAAATATAGGCTTTGAAGAGTCATTATAATCTAAGTACATAAACTGAGCAATGATCAACTCGGTAACTGCTGGGACAATCTGCAAGTAAAATGCAAGATTAGGATGAAACACTGGGGCTATGAGGAAATAGAATAAAGGCAAAACGAGTATGAAATTTCCATACCGGCATTCCCAGATAAACTATGCGACCATCCAAGAGTAAAGAGGGTAAATCTGGAGGAGCACCAGGTCCCTTTCCTCTGCCTCGGCCTCCGCCTCCACCTCCGCCTCTGTACATGCGGACACTCATGCTGTATCTTTCAGGACCAGTCACAGCTGACATACTCCATGCCCCTCCATTGTCCAAATAATTTCTTTTAGCCGAGATGCTTTCCTGTTTAACAAACATCAGTATGTCAGGATAGGTACCAGTTCGGGAAACAACTATGTTCCCCTACTACATGTTCTCAGACACCGGGATAACACATGATCGGAAACAAGAGGTTATAAAGATATAACCTCTGTAACCCTTGATGCCTGCCTGTTCACAAGGCCGTCGTCTCTCATGAACATGTCCATTTGAGATGGAGTTAGACCATACAATTGCTTAGGCACGTTCTTGAAGTTCTCCATTACTATAAAAGACAAGAAGAAAGATGGTAGTTCAGAGCATTGAATCTGCCAAAACGATTGTGATTTCCAACCGTTGGTTATTCCATTTACTTTCTTATGCACAAATGTTCAATCTCAGGCAAGAACTGCAAAGATCAAGTACGTAACTTAGAAAAGATGAAGCCTTTCATCAGCTAAATTTTGTCTCACTAAAACTAACTCCTTTAATCAGAATATTAGAGGAGGCAACAACCAACATGAATGGTGCAACACAAGCCTATGACAACAGAAACCAGACAGACAGACAGACAGACTTTCAACACTTCATAACAAAAACCAAAAAAGAAAAAAAAAGTGTCCAAACAAACCCAGAATTGCTCCAAGTAATCATCTCTAGAATACTGACACCAAATTAATGAAGAACTAAACTTTGTGATTGTGTTGAACAAGATGGGCAGTGTCCTGGATCCCTGGTTACAGCAAAATGCACCACAGAATCTTGTCAATTCGATCAATTGTGCGTTAGAAAAATTCAGGATTTATTGGTTGAATCAAGAACACGAGAACCAAGTTTAAAAATCATTTAGATGAATTCACATGAAACATTCTAAGCTACTTCGTGTTACGCTAATTATTAGAATCCAGAGGAACCAAGACATAACTCAGCAAAACACTTCTGTAACCTGGTAATAAAATTCACAACAACAAAAAAATCACAAAAGGGACAAAAAGATTCGAGGCCCAGAATCAGAAAAAGCGGAAACAACAAACAGAAAGCAGAGAAACCAGAAGAAATTAGAGAGAGAGAGAGAGAGAGAGAGAAGGCAATACATCCGTCTTTGAGATTTTCTTCCCGAAACTGTTTCGGGATATGATCGAAGTTCGAAGTTTGAGCGGAGACAAAACAGTGACATCTTCTTGTACTTCGATGGATGTTAGAGCGAGGCATCTGTAAGACGAAGAGCTTGGAGCCCGACAAAAACGATGATTTGGGAAAAACAGAAGTCGAGCTGAGAGCTTCATGGTTGAGCTGTGGAGTAAGAGAAGAGACCAGAGACGTCGCCATTTGTGACGTAGCGAAGGAAGATGAAGAAGAAGATTGAACGATGATGAATTTGGGGAATTTTCCGAGGCGAAATTAGGGATTTCATGCAATTCTTTTTTTTTCGGCATGAAATGAGAGCCGTGGAATCATACCGAACCGGGATCGGTTTGGGGTATGAGTTGAATCATGAACCGGACCGGGATTATTGAGGAAATGGCAAGACTAAGAAATTGAACCAACCGAGTCGAACATAATAACATACACTAAATATAACCAAATTTTATTCCGATTTTTTTTCGGCAACATTCTTATCGAAATGAATGGATTGAAACCGAATCAATTCAGAATTATGGTGTCAATTTTGGTCTAAGATCTGAAATCCAACTCGATCCATCCCAAAAATAACTGGTTTTGGATAGAGATATTTAGATCTAAAATTTTTTGTACTTTCAGGCCGGGTTTATATCGAGTTTCGGATCGATCTAAAAATCCGATTTTTTTAAAAAGTAATAAAAAATTTGAAGAATAAATTTAGCGAGCCAGACAGACGTGAACTCAAATCCGAAAACTATAAAATCGAATTTTAGATTTGGTTATTCAGATCAAAAAATAATCGGATCTATACGAGTCCTAATCCGAAATCCTCAGGTCGAATATGGAGTTCGGACTGACCCGATTGACACCTTAGTTTAAGTTTTTAAAGGTTCGGACTTAAAGATACATGATTTAGAGTTTAGAATTTATATCTAAACATTTAAATTAATGGAGTTAAGTAAGAATAGTTGAATACAATAAACAACTATTAAATGGTAAAATTTAGTTGAGATTAGAGTAGTTACCATTTAACTTATTGGTAAGCAATTAAAACAACAATCAATATAAAATGTTGCTTTTAATTTTCTGGTTTATTACATGTTTGGAAAAGTCATATATATATATATATATATGATATTGATAAAATGTCAAGAATAAATGAAATCATCTTATATATAAAAGTAGAGTTCATCTCCTTTGCTTGACACGTGTCCTCAAATAGGAGTAAATTCACTTTGAGGTGAGAAGAGTTAATCTATCATTAATATATTAACTTATATATTGATTTTTTATATATATACATTGATATAGAGTAATGCATCACATATACAAATACGAATGGTTAATTTAACACATGTTCCCCTAATAATTTTTTTAAAAAAAATCTATTATTAAATTAATGTAATAACCCGTAAATTCGACTTTCAAACCGAATTTTAGAAAATCAAATATGAGTCATAAAAATGTCCCTAAAATATTGAATTAGACCCTAACCAAGTTGACCCGAAGGATTGGACCGAAACGAGCGAGAAAAACGGGCGAAAACGGGTCGGAACGTCCGGTCTGAACAAGCAGACCGTCCGTTCCAGACCAAGCGGAACGTCCGTTCCGCTTGCGCAGACCGTCCGTTCCGGCGGTCTTGGTCAGGTCACGCGGCGTCTCTCTCCTTTCCGCTGAGTCACCGCCGCAATTTCACTGATTTACCGGCGTGTTACACCTCCTGCTTGCTCCGGACACCTCCTGCTTCTTCTGGAACGCGAGATTATGCCCAAGTCCGTCCATTCCTTAGCCATTTCGCTCTCACACCACCCTCTTACTCTCCCAAAACTCCCTCAAATTTCCGAAACTTCAACCCTTGTTTAAAGCTTCGATTTCGGTCGAAATCGATCAAAGAATACAGAAATCAACCCTACAGAACATCCCAACGAAATCCCAAGCTCAAATTTGAGTGAGGTGAGTGTTTTTTATTAACCCCGAACATGATAATCAAATTGAAAATGGAGATTTGTTTGCTTTGAGTGAGAATTGCATGAAATTGATTGTAGATTTGAGTTCCTCGTGACTCCTAGTTTGTTTTGAGCTATGGAATGTTATGTTTGGTGCGAAAAATTGGAACCCGAAATTCCTGGTTCGCCTAGACCGAACGATCCAGGTTCGGACCGTCCGTTCTAGGGTTTGCAGGGTCTCGGGGAGGAAGACGAAGTCTAGAACGTCCGTTCCAGGTGTGGATCGTCCGTTCCAGAGGCGGATCGTCCGTTCCGCCTATACTGGACCGTCTGTTCCAGCTTGGTTCAGACCGAAGGGACTAGACCATCCAGACCGTCCGTTCCAGACGGGGCAGACCGTCCGTTCTGGACCTCTGTCTCCCCGTTTTGGCCCGACACGTTGGATCGAGCGAGATCCGATGCAACCAACCCTCATACCCGACCTACCTAACCTCGTTCCCTACCCGAATCTCACGATACTTGAATGAAACCGACCTACGGTAAGTAAAACCTTCGGAACGAGATGAATTGGTAATCCGAGATGGTCGGAACCCAATTTGATCGGAACGAAGGATAAAAGAATAGAATGAACGTATTGGAAAGGATATACTCAAAATGATAAGTAAAGACGTATGTATATACGATTACAGTATAACGATATATGAGTGTGTGTGGTTGGGGGATCAGTTAGTTGGCATGGCATGAGACTTTATTCCGGAGGGTCGGGATAAGGTTGAGCGTGTGAATGTAGCGGGTTTGAGGAGGCATGATTGTGATTGGTTGCCTATGGGTAGAGCTTGGAGCCGATGATACGCGTGATAGTCTTGAGTGATTCGGCTATCACGGGGTTGAGGAAATCCTACGGTTACTCTATAACCGCGCCAACGTTCTACTAGCTATGGAACGGGTTCGGGATTGAGTGATTCTCCCGGCAGAGACTGGCAACACATTTACCCGTGACTCGGGATTGAGCGATTCTCCCGACGAGGTTGTGCAGAAAGACTCTGAAAGACCTGAGCTCGAGTCTGATGAGCTTTTCCGTGGCGGACGGCCGGCGAGAGGTTGTCAGTTGTGTACTGACTTCACTCGACATAGTCGGTGGTGACCTGTAGGAGGCACCTGGCGCTCTGGTATCGAGAGGTGACATCGATATCAGAGGGGGTGGTTGATGTATTATGTTTTATGGAGTAGGGAACTGGATGACGTGTTTTATTGTTTCGGCGGTTGCCGAGGAGAGCGGGGGATGTGCGTTGCACATGGAGAGTCCTTACCCACGGGTGTGATACACACGTGGAGATGATTTGACGATACTGATGTTACTGATAGACCCGATGGGTCGAGCTATGACTGGTATAAGTGTCCTGGACTGGTGCTACCAGATCCGTGCGGTGTCCTATGTGTGCGACGCACATAGAGAGGATTTGACGGTTATATCCGATGACTTGTCATTCGGATTGTGTGTGATTGATAAGGGTGTACTTGCGTGATTGAGTGAACTTTGTTTGATGGCATGCGGTGTGTATATATGTCATACACTTATATTACTTTACTTTTTCTCAGTCTTGTGATGTTTTGTTGTTGACGGTGACTGGATTTTGTATTATATCGGATTCACCGTCTTATGTTGGTGTGTATACTGTACGTGGGTTTGTTAAACATATACTTGTTTTTCCGCTGCGTGTGTAATCAAGTAAAATGTTTTTAAATTCCCTCTATTTTATTATATGGTTGAGCGTCCATGTGGCACAACTCGTGAGCGGGAGGCGGGTTACGGGTGTCACAGCTTGTGGTATCAGAGCAGTTCTTTCCACGGGAAGGAATTGCTTGAAACCCACGGAAACATCGTTTATGATTTCAAACGATTTTTGAAAGGAAATGTTTTAAATGCGTCTATACATGATCCTGAAGTCACCAGAACTGACACTTTCTCTCCCTTGTCTGCAGTATACCGATGCCTCCGAGACGTGATAGACCTGCCCGTTTGCCGGTGAGGGGAGAACCCCCTCCACCCGAGCATGCACCACCAGAGTTCCAGTAGCAGTTCTTTGATACGATGTGGCGTCAGTTCCAGATGAACATGCCACATCAGGCTGGAGCTAGACGAGAGGGTATTCCACCCCCACCTCCACCGGGACCACCAGGGTATCCAGCCCCTGTTGCGGTGGACTACCTGCCCTTGATACGGGAACTTCGAATGATGGGGACACCGAGGTTCGAGGGTACCCAGAGACCTGAGATCGCGAAGGATTGGCTGATCCGCATCTCCAGGGATCTGGATTATGTCAGATGTCCGCTGCAGTACCGGGCAGAGATCGCGAGCCACCATCTGTTTGGAGAAGCACTTCATTGGTGGGAGGAAGTGGTTCATGAGGCGGTACCTGTGACACCCGTATCCCACTTCCCGTGAACAGGATGTGCCACATGGACGAAATCAATAAAATATACAAAGACAAAATTTTACGGGAAATTTAAATCTGTTTTACCATAGGTTTTATGCAGCGGAAATTAAAAACATTTGTTAATATTCAAAACACCACAAGTCCGAAACTGTGATACAATACAATTCATATGTCTGGGATCATAATCCCGAGTTCAATGAAATCGTAAAAAAAAACCCGTACAAGATGCTGCTCACGAGAGTCGTCATCGTCTGGTAGACAGCTACACGTGTTCCTCGTTACCTGAAAAGGTTAATCAACGAGGGCTAAGCACAACCGCTTAGTGAATGACCCGGGTTAAACCCGGTGTTCTCGTTCTCATCGAGAACAGTGTCAAATCAATACTTTGAAACATGATTATAACCATTTTAATAATAACCCGTTTTTTTATACAGTTTCCATCGGTATCATCCAATACTGACTCCACTTCGTCTACCGGTACTGGATTCAACCCCGCTTCTCTGTAATAGTACTGACTCCACGTCGTCAACCGGTACTAATACAGAGACGACCACACAGATTCACCAACACTGACTCCACATCGTTGATCATCTAGTCTCTGCAAAATACATTATTGTAAGCTTTGCACTATGCTCCCAGTGTGGTAACACTAGGATTGGTGCTAAAGTCAACTTTTCCTTTCCGTTACTGGGGTTCTCCTTACCCTTGATAGTCCATCTGAACTTTGTTACGGTTTGGGATTTCCGATCCTTGACCGCTATCATTTTAGTGGGGTCCCTTGGAGCTCTCCAGGTTGAGACCATATGTCTTGTGCACAATTGGTCTTGTCCCAACCTCCATGTGTCTTGTTAACCATGTGAGTACATGAGAACGTCACCCATAGTGATGTAC